TAATATACTTTATGAATACATTTAAGTTCACTTTCAGTAGAGTGATTGCTGTCACTACGTTAAAAATCCCCATTGTATTATATAGCTTATGTAGCACTTCATGACAACAAGGCTTCTAAAGTGTTTTCACATTTTCGTGGATGTTTGAAGATAGGAATTCTTGGTAAAGGTAGGAAAATAATATATAACTTGCAGCGTGCTGAATTACGTATGGCGGGTCTGTGATTACTGTAGCAGCAGTTGAGAGGTGCAATACTAGCTCCATGTTCACATCATTTTAAAACGACAAGGGCTAAAATGGACCCCACACTCTTCTGAAAGATGCAATAGGTTCTTTAAAGTGCACACAAGCTCGATGTGTACAATTGACCTCCGGTTCTACCATGGAGGTATACCAACTGAACCCTGGGCGAGGAGGGGGCTAGAACCAGCACTGATGCTAAGGCTGTAGTTAGCGGTGCCCCTGCATTACCGCTCAGCTACTCAACTTGTGTTTAATGATAAGGGTTCATGACAATCATCTTTTTAAACAAAGTTTTCATTTGATCACGCGTGGACAGCTTTCAAATGGTTCTTGGTGAATTGACAATTTTGGGTTCCATTGTTGTGTAAAATGCGTAAAAACCCAACCTTATAACTGGAGTATTGGTTTGTTTATGTTGTTCAGAAAAGACTAATTATAAGTTGACACGTAAGAACTTTGACAGCAGGCCACAATCTTGGTAGAGTAGTGATATTTAATCAACCTAGGAAGAATACTAAAATTGAAAATAAAATTTTATTATCCCAAATTCCTATATAATGATTAACTTGTGAAAAAAGAGAATAACTTGAATTCTAAATGTTTTGTTCATCAAATTTTTGAATTACTTCTGTCCTAAATTTCATAATTAAGCTTTTTAATATTTCAAAGATTTCTCTTTTTTTTTTTTACCACGTGTATATTTAGTTAAGTTTTATTGTGTTTCAAATGCCATCATGGGCCAATATCTGCTTGGAATTACATTCACAAATTCACAGGTATCATAATAGAGTTAAGGAAAATAAAAAATATATTTCTGGCAATTTGATGGGCAGGGTTGAAAGGTGGAGGAGGAAAGCGAGTCAGGGCGGATTTGTATCAAATTTAGTGGGGGTGTCAAAATGTTTCCAAAAAACCCCCAAAAGAAAGGGGGTCTGCGGGGTCCTCTCCGGGAAAATTTTGATTCCTAGGAAATGAACTTTCTCGACTTCTGAAGTGTCTTTTAATGACTTTTAAGTTCTTCAAAATTCAAGTTTTTCCCCCTCTTGAAACGGTCAGCTAAGCTTTCTCATTCTTATTACAGTAAATAGGCCTATTATGTGTGTAAATACATTAAGAAAATTGAATAATTGCATACATATTCTTTTTTCCATGAACGATAATCCCCAAAGAGAACAGGGATCGGGGTTTTCCCCAGGAAAATTTTGATTCGATGGCGGGAAATGAGCTTTCCCGACTTTTAAGGTGTCTTCAAATTCAAAGGTTTTCCCCCTCTTGAAAACGATTCCATGAATTGATGAACCCCAAAGAGAAAGGGGTTCCGGGGTCGCCCCGGGAATATTTTGATTCCTAGATGGCCAAAAATGAACTGTAATTCTTATTACAGTAAATAGGCCTATTATGTATGTACCGGTATACATAATACAGAAAAAAAATTGAATAGTTGCATACGTTTTCTTTTTTCCATAAATCCCAAAAAGAATTTTGATTCCTAGATGGTGGGAAATGAGCTTTCCAGACTTCTAAATTTCCCATTGTAACAAAAAAAATTCAGCTCACAGGTCTTGAATTTTATTTTTTTAATTAAAATTTTTTTTTAAATTTTTTGCCTAAGGTAGGGGTCGGAACCCCCTGAACCCTCCACAGATCTGCCAATGCGAGTACATGGATTAAAGTTTCAGGGAAAATCGAGAAAGAACCCCCTGACCCCTCCTCAGATCTGCCAATGCGAGTACATGGATTAGAGTTTCAGGGAAAATCGAGAAAGAGAGTAGGCAAGACTCAAAGAGTGTGGAAGAAAGGAAGAAGCGAAACTGGATATTTCATATATATTATTCATTTACCCAGTTCTTAATAATTTTATCATCAGTCAATAGAAGTACAGATGTATATGTCATTACAGTATGTCCGAAAAGAAAAAAAAATTTTAAGGCTACTATCAAGTATTTGGTAGGCTCCAAATTCTAGGTACTCATTTGTTTTCCAATGAGTGGAGTTAGAGAGGACCATAAAATTAGTTAAAATGCATCGCCAATACCCACCTTCACCCACCCTACCCCCTCAGCACACAAAAAAATGCAATATCACCACTCTTGGTTCCTTTTGTGTTTGTTCCTCCATGTTACAAACATTCTCTTAAGGTGTTTCTGTATTGGGTATCATGTATCCTATTCTATTCTGCTTGGAAAACTAATCTCTATTCATGTCCATGTTTATCTTTGATATTTGAAACTTCTATAATTGACCGTATTGTTCATTTTCCATTATCAGTGAATAACCAGAAAAAGATTCTCTGACAAATATTGCAGATTTGCTATACTGCAGTGCATGTTATCACTAAAACTAAGATTCATTTAATTGTTCACATAGTGAGTGCATCATTATATTTCATTGCTGAGTATGCATTTTATTGTAGGTAAATGGTCCTTTCTGTTATTGCTCCACAAGTGATTCACCTCTGCCACCACCAGTAATTTGTCCTGTATATCAGTACTTAAAACTTGTCCAAGGTGTTTTCTGTTAAGTTGGATATTGATTATGGAGCATTATCCTGTTTGCTAATTACCATGACACATATTGAACACAACGTTTAACTAGCATTTCATTTTCGGTATTTTAGACACTAAAGGTCTTTTTCATTATCAGTGAGGAGGACATGCTGTATCTTTGATTCATGTTCATTCCACCAACTACCATTCTTCAATACATTAAGACATACCTAGGTATTCTTAAAACAAACTTTAGCAGTATAGTAGTTGAGGCTAAAACCTCAAAATTCTCTCATTTTGTATTCTTAAAACAAACTATGACTAAATCACACACACCTCAAACTATATTTATACCAGGAAGATTTTTCTAGTCTGGCCTTGGAATTTTACCTATTTTTAAAAACATATATTTTTGTAGGACACGCTTCAATGCGAGAAATAAAAATGGTATCCTATGCAAGCCTAATACATCATAAGTGTAAAATGAAAGAAATATTCAAGATTAGCTTTCAAATGACAACATTACCAGGAGTACAGTAGCTTGCCCTTGCAGTAGCTGCTGAATTGCACGGAACACTACCTGATTCCTGGTGCGGATTGCTATAGTGGTCTGTAGATGGTCTTAATGGTTAGCCGGCTATAATCGTAATGTCACTACTGGTCTATGATTATAGACCATTGCTATACCGCGGTCTAACCAGTTAGCTGTCTTAAATTTTAAAGCCTACTCGGAGGAGGCTTAAAACGGTGTTAAATCATTTTCGTCATGACGTTCAGCTAATTAATTCGACAGTGCAATGGCAAGACCTAGGCCTAGATCGTCAAAGTCGGAGAATCGAACAACGAATATTCGACACGCTTCTCAGCATCTGTACAGTTAAAATAGGTATATGTATATTTATGTTCATTTCGATAAATTTGCGTGCATGGAGCACGCATGACATCGCCCTTAATCTTACGTTACTAGGGAGTGCTTGTTTGCGTTTCAATACTCAAAGCGGTCTTAGGGAAGACTGTTTTATAGCAATACAGTAGTCGTTGTGGAATGACTTTAGTAAGACCGTCTAAGTGATAAAGCCGGCTTTATTCGAGGAGTTAAGACTACCAGTTAAGACCGTTTATAGCAATCTGCCCCTGATGTGCGGTTACAAAGCTTCACCGTCACCACAACATCAAAGATGGCGCTGCTTTAAATATTAATAATGCTCCAAAAAAAGCAAATTTTTAGTGATTGTTTAAATTTTAAGTATTTACATGTTAACTTTTACTATTATATAATTATTATAGAAAATTAAATAAACAATTGGTGTTCTAAAAACTGCATTAAGAAGAAATATATTTTTTAATGACAGATTGAAGCTCAATATTCAGCCGTGTTACCAGAACTTTTTCTTTGTCTTCTAAATAAATGATCAGTTTCATTTTGAGTGTGCTGGCTTCATCTGAAATTCGAGGACTTGATTTAGCCGTAGTTAGAAATTTGACTGCAGTATTTATATACAAACTGAAGTTGTAGACTAGGTTGAAGTTTTAGTTTGAAGTTTGACTACTGTATGGTTTGTTTTAAGAATATAGAGTACCACAGTCGTGTTGTCAACAGACGTTGGTTACCGTTCATTATTCCTGAATGACTGCATAGGCTTTCTGGAATAGGCATTTTAAAATCTAATATTTTACCATCAAAATGGCCTCGGGTTGAAAGCATTTTGCAGAGATAGCAACGGAGTAGTATCACATGGTATCGTGACGTAAAACTGTAGTACTCAATGGGATTGAGAATACTGAACACAGCTTTGTTTAACTCCTAGTTAATTTACATGTGAAAATCTGTTACAAAATGTCAATATCTGTCATTCTTTAATCAAATTTGATTTGAGATTTTAGTTAGGGAATTTTTAAACTTTGTTTTATTAATAGACTTTTAATAAATGATCAGATCAGCGCATTATGCATCAACGTATGCATTTGCAATTACTGTTTAGTTCCTGCAGAACAAAACTGTATTAATCTGGAAACTGGAAAAAAATGAAAGCTACTGTAAAACCTTGATTTGATACCTTAAAAAATAAATGATAGGCCTTTGTATAATTTATTAAACGTCTGCACATTTTTAATATATTAAATTTTTTTTGTCCATTTTGCTGAAATGGCCAGTCAGTACCATCAAGGAGCTACAGGTACTATGCCCAAGATTCAAAACGCCAATGAATAATTACTAATCAATAAAGCAACTAAAACACAGAATTAATGTCTTTTCCTATTATTTTCAGGAATTCTGAAAGGGAAAACAAGGGTCAAGAATTATTGGAAACATTTCAGAAACCAACTGCAGATGAAGTCCAACAAGGAGGAAAGTCGAAAGTATTTGAAAAAAATTCTCAGCAATATAGAGACCAGGTGTTATGCCAACCAAAAGTTAACATTACATTCTTGAAAGTTCACAAAACTGGGAGCAGTACCTTACAAAATATATTTCTACGCTATGGTGATAAAAACAATCTTAATTTTGCAATACCACCGGTAGGACACCATCTGGGTTATCCTCAGTATTTCGAAAAAAAACATATGATACCAGTTGCTAACGGAGTCTATAATATTTATTGTCATCATTCACGATTCAGCTCTCAGGTGTTAGAAGTAATGCCACAAAATGCAGTCTACGTTAGCATACTTCGTGAACCAGTTGTGGTTTTCGAGAGTGCGTTTACATACTTTAAGATGGATGGACGTGCAGGTATGCCTGGTGATCCCGCAGCTATGTCAAAGTTTTTGCAACGTCCAAAGTACTTTTACAACAAAATGCGAAGCAAAGTACATGCACGAAATGTGATGCTTTATGATTTTGGTTTCCCTGAAGAAGATTTTGATGATGAGAGTCTAATCAATAAGGCAATAAAATTGATTGATAAACAGTTTGATTTAGTGGTTATTGCTGAATATTTTGATGAGTCACTTATTCTTCTAAAAGAATTACTCTGCTTCCCTCTTGAGGATATTGCATTTTTTAAACAGAACTCACGCAAAGAGGATTCTGTGCATCAGCTTTCAGACACTGTTAAAAACAATGTCCGTAAGTGGAACAAAGGTGATGTTATGCTGTATGATCATTTCAATAGGACGTTATGGGATAAAATCCAAGCGTATGGTGTTGATAGAATGGCAGCTGAAGTAAAGGAGCTTCGAGAGCTGAATAACAAATTGTTTGAGAAATGTGTCGCCACAGACACTGCTGCTCAGGGTGAGGGGGAATTCAGGATATTCCAACCCCCAGGAGTGAAGATTAATACATTTTTGTTGAAGGATTCTGCTAAGGAAGACCCACTATGTGAGCAGATGGTGAAGCCTGAGATAGCTTATACACAGGATTTACGAAGAAAACAGTTTCCACACTTCAAGGCAGAACATGGGAGGAAGAAAAGGCTGAGACAACCAATGAAAAAAGGTTTTGCAAAATTTTGAGGGGTGCCATTGCTCAGTGACTGATCAGAGCAATTATGTGTAACTCTTTCAGGTAACACATATCGCACAAAAACAAACAACACTAGTAAAAGCAAAGTACAGTAGAACCTTGTTTTTACGTACCCCAGTTATACGAACCCTTGGTTTTACGTACGCATGGTATCGACGATGACGTCATCAAAAAACAAGTAAACGGCACTTTTCAGAGCCACCATAAGTAAAAAGACATTTGTTACTTTCTCTCTACTTATTTACAATAAGCAAAACATATGCAATGTATTTTCATTAAACAGCAATGTTAATTGAGGCTAATACCGAGCTGTTATAATCTAAAATCATGTGTACTGAGCGAGTTGAACAGTTACCGATGGTGCTCAAAATAATTGCTTTCCTCCTTAGCTTTGTGTGGAAAACTCGTCTGGTCGAATTTTCTACACGAAGCTGAGTAGGCATAATTTCGTACACGAACGCTAATTGGTTGGCTCGCCCAGTGCAGTGCATGTGGTTGCTGTTTCACGTACATGAACGCTAATTGTTTGGCTCACCCAGTGCAGTGCACATGGTTTTATTTTGTCTCGGCAGGCCCAGACAACACTAAAGTTTAGAATAGCCATGATTTTCAAGTTATGCCTTTGTCGTATAGGTAATCTTGTAATATTTTCATGTTCTTTAGTTAAATAATAGATATAAAGTGATGAAGTAATACACAAGACACATGGTTTTATTTGGACATTGTAAAATGATGAATAAAAACACTAAACACATGGTTTTATTCGTATGCCTAGAGGCTAGGTCTAGCCTAGGTAACATCGTCCGTTCGTTCATAACATAGGCCTACGTTTATTGAGTGTTATGTATGTATTGTGTCAAAAGTCACTACAAATTTAACCCAACCTCAATTTTACGAAACCCCTTATTTATATATGTCCTCCGGTCCTGTACCGTACGTAAAATTGAGGTTCTACTGTACCATTCAAATCAGGCAAGATTTCTTCTATAACTAATATTAGCAAACTTCATTTTAGAAAAATATCTTTAGAGGAGGGTGGAACAAATATTATTTCTTTTTTTGCAAATTGGTTAAACCGAACGCCGCATCTATGCAGAGAAAAAAATATAAACCTTTTTTAATAGATAATAAAATGCAAACTTATAGGTGAAAGCCTGTGATTAAGATTGCATAATGACTGAATTTGCCATGTAAACTCTTCAAGTGGACTGATAAATGTTTATATAATTTAATTTAAAAAAAACCATCTTTTTTACTTGGAGACATCTTTTTACGGCGATGGGTTTACTAGCAGGACAAAAATATTTTATTTTATTTTCGAATTGTTTTCTGTGTGCAGTAGGTTTCCCAAACAAGGTAAGGTTAGTCGCCTAATACACCAACAGGCATTTTGTAGCCTCTCTTCCACAATTCTGGATTGTAAAAATGTAAAACCTTTTGTAGAACTTTTGTACTGTCGCTATTTATAATATCATGCCATTTTGTAATTACTTTTGTGGTAATCTACAGTATAATACTGGAGTGGTTGCTCTGTTATGCTTTGGCCTTACTGAAGAAGCTAATATTGGTGGAAATTGGTCTTTACACCTGGATACTTTTCTTCCTGTCAATTTTTAAAAGCATGAATTTGCTATTTCTGGGCATAATTTTCCATCTACCTCCAGCATAGGTCGATCCACACCGTTGGTCACACTGCTATTTAGGAAAAAACGCTGGCCAGGCCACTTGCAAAAGGCTTTTGATGGCTATGGAGCAGGAGGATGAAAAGGATGTTGATAATTAGAAAGTTCGTATTGGATAGGACAAGTATGAAAAAGACAGTGAGTAGGATAAGGAGATAATTATGATGGTGATCATCCAACATATCGCCGATTCCACTCCAAGGTGTGGGTAATGAAGTACAGTAAATAGAAACAGAAGAAAAGGAAGAGAAATAAAGGCAGATAAGGAGAATGAAGTGGAGGATGAGAAAGATGATAGATAAATGAGGATTGGGATGATGGTGAGGATGATGACAAGAATGATAAGGTTTGAGATGTTAATGAGAAGTGATGATGAATGATGGTCAAGAGGAGGTGGGTGAGGACAATGATGAAATACTGATGATATTCCAGAATATATGTATGGTAAAATAAATGTATGATTTGCCAATATGTGGCTCCCTTGTGGTTTTCCTGACCTCCGGTCTTAATAATATATGTGCTTCATTTGATAGTGGAATATTTAAAATTGCTGACTCATTAAATTTTAAGATTTGTATCGATCTCTATGTCATTTAAAAATGGCTGATAGAATTAGAAACACTATGTCAGCCATATTGGGCTTGCCATGTGTTACAAGCATTAATGTAGAAAACAACAGGTAATGTAGAAAACAACAGGCAATGTAGTAACAACTGTTAATGTAGCACACTCCACAGCTTATGTAGTAAAACCCGCTAATGTAGAAACACCAACAGCTTATGTAGTAAAAAGAATATCAACCCCAGCTTAGTAGAACGCTCAAAAGCTAATGTAGAAACGAAAATTGCCTCACAGCTAATGTAACTACTATCGCCAACTAATGTAGAATTTTACAATATTACAATACCATTGGCTGAAAAACATAGGAGGAACAAGTGAGTTCCCCGGGACAAAGTGTTGCAGCTCAGTTTCATAATAATGTTACAAAAGATATTTATTACAAAGTGTGACTGATTAATAGTGCAACAATTTAAAAAAGAATAATGCCTTTTGGCAAAATTATGTTTCTTTTATTTATTTTAGAAAATGTTCTCATCACTAATAATCTCATCAGTCTCAATGTTGTTGCTTTTCTGTATCTTTTTTTTTTCTAAATTGTAGTAGTAAAAGTAAGGATATGACACTTAAAGTTTGTTTAAAATTAATTATATTAAAGTATATGAACCACCAAAAGGCAATTATCTTTTTACCCTAACAATCACAATGAATAAATTATGAGATAATAAATTTAATAATACATGTTATACTGTAGTCAAACTGAAGTTTTTTAAAGAATTTTTTTTTCTCAAAATGTATGCATTGCTAAAGAATGTTACTATTATTAGAATGGTCAATATTTCTCACTGAATGAAATGCCTAAAAATATACCATCGGAAAATGTGATTTAATTCACAGCAGTATTTTGATTTTTTTTTTTAATTGTTTGATGTTTAATATATTTTACCCGACATCATTTTATACATTTGATGAATTTGTAGTTCTTCCCAAAAACTGAATATTGTCCATAAAACTGAACAATTAAATACAGAAATATAGAAATTTGGAATGTATATTTTGATGGAAATTTTTAATTATTATAATATTTGTTGTAAGACTCATGCCAAAGTGTGTTTATGTTGATATCTTTATTTTCATAAGTAACTAATTATAGATTTGTTATATATTCGTTGTACTTTATATTAAAACAAACTTATTTTAAAAAGCATACAACAAAATATTGTATGATATATAGGATACCTTAGATTTATTGATCAGATGTGAAATCATCTACTTAGCTACTTATTTTAAAAAGCATACATAAACAAAAAAATATTGTATGATATATTAGATGTCTTAGATTTATTGATATGATTACAACAATCATCTACTGAGCTTAAAAGTACATTCCTGTTCTGTATTAGCTTTTGTTGTATGGTCATTTGTTTATGCCCTTTCATTGACATTGTAAAAGCTTCAAGTGCTGTGCAAACAGTAATACTAAACATATTGTGTTGCTGTAGTGATAGTATTAAAAGTAGATCATTGCAATATACTACTACTGTACTCTCAGATAGTGCCATTCATGCCAACCATTGGAAGTGCCACATGTATTGGTCATCAGAACCACTGCTAATGTACAATCACGGTAACAGTTCTCAGAGAATGATTTTGGTTGGTTGGTGCAGGACGGGGTATAGTTTACTATATAGTTCAGGGATTGTTCTAAAGCTCTTAACTGGAATTATAAAAATTTTAAAATTTATGTATCTTCAAAACTTCTGTCCTCGAAATGTACTCACAAATACAGTTGGTGTCCCACGTAGGATAGTTTTTCTCCATAGTTTAAGAATAATGTATAGCATATAGAGGGATCTCTTGTCCTCAAGGCACTTTATAAATACAGTATTATTTAATTTTTATAATTATTTTTATTATTATTATTATCATTTCACAGTTATCTTCAGGTTTAGTTGAATGAGTATTAATAATCTTGTATCTGGAGTCTGTCTCAGGAAAAGTAGAATTTACATGTAAAATTGATTAAAAATGAAGAAAGATACTGAATATTATTTGAAGGTTTCAGGGGGAAGTAAGATATACTGCCAGTGGTGCTGCCATTGGGTTGGCAGAGGGCCTTAAATTTCACTTTTTGAATATTTGTGTATATCTTCTGTTGATATCTTTCTATTTGTTACTTCATAAAATGTATTAGAAGATGTGAAGAGCCATTTTTTGTTTGTTTTTTTGTTGCGAGTCGTAAGTTGGTCAGTTTAATGTAAAAGTGTATAGTGAACTGTGTGCTTTCAGTAATGTTTGTAAAGCTGTGCACTCGCTGCCATTTACGATGTTCGTACGACGGTCATGACAAATCCAACTCCCTGCAAGTGCTAGACGACGCGACACCGTCTGCTAATTGTCGGTGGCAGTCTGGTCTGTTGCGTGCACATTGTGGCGTTCCGTTTTTCCATAGAATTGTGTGTGTTGTGTGGCACATTTATTAAAATGTTATTTGGTTTGTGTCTTGTATACAGGGTATTAAGTTGTGCATGTTCGTAATTTTTGCCTGTCCTGATAAATTTTATTGATTAAATTTATTTTTTTTGGTCTTAATCATGAAATACATGCTATTATGAAGTTTCTCTAGTCAAATTTTGAGCTAGTAGTTACAAATAGTTATGCTATTTTATTTTTCACTGATTCTACAATGAATTGTATATATTGTTGTTGTACTCTTATTGCATCTCATGTGGAAGATTAAATACTAATATATAAATCATCAAATGTTTTATTAGCTTTCAATCGCAAATTAGATTGCCACACAATTGACCAATAGCAGATATATATTTTTTTATGGTTTAAAACACATGTAACCTTATTTAAAGCTATAGGAAATTGTGATTATACAGCATATATTTGTTTATACTATTATCTCTCATCTTTAATATTGAGCCAGTCCTGAAATTGGCTAAAGCATCAGAGAATGAAACTGTGTTGAAACTTGTATACAATTTCCAGGAAATGTAGTTAGATATATTTGCGAGTTTTAGGTAATTTGGATAAAACATCTGTTGTCTATGAATGTTACTTTTTAAAAGATGTTCTCAATGTTAGGATAGTTTTAGGTATTTTGATTAGTCATATAAATTCAAGTTTCCAATTATTCTTCTAGGATCACCATTCTATAGAGTTTATATGGCGATTCCTTTTTACTAACTTGCTTTATATGTATCTTAATATTATTTATTTGTTGATGAATAAATGTTGAAATAGAGACAATTGTTTAAAAAGTAACATCTTCCCATAGTATATGTTCTCATAGATGCAATAGTTAATGTCACAACATTAGTTTTTAAAATGACTTAATCATCCTGATATTTATAATTATACTATTTTTTCATTTACATATTTAAAATAATTTAAAAAAAATTTTGATATTCAATTTCACTGTAAATTACATATTGAAAACATGAACAATGAGTTTCATTTCATTTATTATTTCCAGGCAATAACTA